TTGTTGACAAGTTTATTAAATAGAGCTATAATTTTATTTTTATTTAACATCGTAAAATATTATAATTAATATTAAAAGAATACTAATAATAGGTATTAGTCCCTTCATGATGAACCATTATTACCTGGCGCGCTTTTAAAAACGCTCGCTTATTGAGACTTGGGACTAAGGAAACACGAAAGAGACCGCAAATGTCTTTGTCCAGAAACCAAAACCAAAAACATAAATTCAAAATAGTAGCAACAATTTGACCTGGGTCAGCATAAAATACACCGAACCCTCTTGTTACTTAACTTTGAAAACGACATCAAAATCAAATTTTTAATTCAGTTTTACTGTGCATTCTATTCTAAACGTGGCTTTTGATCACAGCAAGCCAGGTTTGACTGGTAAAACTTGCAGTTATCCATCCGATAGTGGTTGTATTATAAAAGACTAATGGTCACAAAATCAAGGTTTCAAGGTTTTGCCTGCCCCAGAAAATGGATAAGCAAGTGGTTCTTCTTTCTCTCCTTATTTTCTTCTTCACTGTTTCCATATCTGGTGTTTCATCCACCACATGCCCCATGGATCTCAGCTACGTTGAGACCTTTCCCTGGGATGCTTCATCTTGCCGAGACCCTGTTGTTGATAAGGAGCACTGTTGTCAAGCTTTGCTCAGTGTAATTGGCATGGGGTTGGCCGAACACCTCAAAAACACTTCCTACTTTCAACTTCCTGATGTAAACACTTCCTCCATCTGCTTGTCAGATTTCCAAACCAAAGTCTCAGCCTTGTCAATCAACTCCTCTTTGGTCCCTTATTGTTTTCCTAGAGCTTCTGAGTTTGTTACCAACACTTCCACTTGTGCAGGAATCATAACTGTAGATGATTGGAAGAGTAAAGTGGGTATGATTAGCCCCTTAGACACTTCTTGCAATGGGGACATGAGTGATCAAACCCGTTGCAGCCTTTGTACTGATGCTGGTCTCAAAGTGACTTCTCACCTCAATAGTTTGGACCCAAATGGCACAAAGTGCTTTTACTTCACAGTTTTGTATGCCTCGGCTATTGTTAATCAGTATGGTCCTACAAATTTGGGCACCGCTGGTTGCATACTGGGCTTGCCGCTGTCTGTGAAAGGTTCATCGAATAAAAAACAAGAGCTGAAACTTGTTTTTGGGTTGGTGGGTGCTGTTACTGGTGTTGTGCTTGGTTTTGTGTTGATTTTGGTGTACAGAAAGTGGGATAAGAGAAGGAAGGAAGATAAGTATCACAGGTCGGTTGAAAACGGTGTGAGGAACAGTGTTTTGCCTAATACTGGTGCGAAATGGTTTCGCATATCGGAGCTTGAGCGAGCCACTGGTAAATTTTCTCAGAGGAATATGGTTGGCCAAGGTGGTGATGGGGTTGTGTACAAAGGGACTCTTTCAGATGGCACTGTGGTTGCGGTAAAGGAAATTTTTGATTTGGAGACAAAAGGGGATGAAGATTTCTGCTACGAAGTGGAGATCATAAGCAAAATAAAGCACAGGAATCTTCTTCCTCTTCGGGGCTGTTGCATTTCAAGTGATAATTTGAAAGGCAAGAGAAGGTTTCTGGTTTATGATTTCATGCCAAATGGCAGCCTCAGTTACCAGTTATCAGTTTCTGGTGCTAATAGGCTAACATGGCCACAAAGGAAGAACATAATCCTTGATGTGGCCAAGGGGCTTGCTTATTTGCATTATGAGATCAAACCCCCAATTTATCACCGTGACATAAAGGCTACCAACATACTTTTGGATTCAAAAATGAAAGCAAAAGTGTCAGATTTTGGGTTGGCGAAGCAAGGGAATGATGGCCAGTCTCATCTCACAACAAGAGTTGCTGGCACATACGGTTATTTGGCACCAGAGTATGCTCTTTATGGGCAACTGACAGAGAAGAGTGATGTGTACAGTTTTGGCATTGTGATTCTTGAGATCATGAGTGGAAGAAAAGTGCTTGATACCATGAATTCATCGGTTGTTTTGATCACGGATTGGGCATGGACACTGGCAAAATCAGGGAACATGGAAGACATTTTTGACCAGTCAATAAAGGAAGAGGGACCAGAGAAGATCATGGAAAGGTTTGTTCTTGTGGGAATACTCTGTGCTCATGCGATGGTGGCTTTAAGACCTACCATTGCCGAGGCCCTTAAGATGTTAGAGGGTGACATTGACATACCCCAGTTACCTGACAGACCAGTGCCACTGGGTCAGGAGGCCTTCCATTCTTCTTTGCAGCATGGTTTGCAAACTAGCGTAGGATCATCCTCCTATTTTTCTTCATATCTTGCATCCTATTCATCAAGCACTAGAACAACATAGATTGCAAAGTCTACAGTAGTTTGCTTGTGCTGAAGAAACTAATCACTATTAGGTCTTAGTCAGCAATTCACGCCCACCATTTCCCATTTGGAACCTTCAATTTGACCTTCAAAATCGTGCCGTAAATATCTTGGATTCTTTTTCATTTTGTATACTTGTAATTTGATTATTTTTTATTCAGATTAAATTTGCGTTTTTCATATCTACAGCGTTCGGGGATAGACTTTATAAAGATCCTAATATACTTTAATTCCCTTTTCTTTGGTGAATGTATATTCTAATGCTTTGAAAGCAAGGAACCCTGTTTGCGTTCTTGCCTGGCTCTAAACTGATCTAATCTCTTAGTTCTTAGTTCCTATGATGTCTAATATTTGCCTTTTAAGTTGAAAAAATAAACTAGTCTTAATAGATTATTTTTCCTCTTTCGAAATATTTATTACATGTCATTCTTTAATTTTTTTTATCATAAACCAATTTAAAATATATAAATGAAAATAAACCTCTTCTTAAAAATAAAAGAATTGGATCATCACAATAAATAAATCTATAAAACATTGAAAAAAGAAAACCTTTTAAAGCTGAGAGAATAAGAACTTTCTTGTTCCCTTCGGCCATTGTATATATAGAAATATATATTAAAGATTTTTCATACTTTATGGCCCCAACGCTTTTTGGCCGTTGGCCAATTTCAACGGCTGTATATTTTAACAGGTCGCAAGCCAGACTGGCTGAGAATTTTCAATTATATCCAGCTAAGATTCGAATTCCAAATCATTAAGGTTATTAGTAATGAACAAGTATACCAATTCTTTATTTCATCTGTAGGAGTTGAGTCTAAGGAAAGAAATTAATCTATACAAAATACGAATCAGTTTCAAACTTTGAAAAGAAGAGAAATATTTATATTTAATGCATGATACTGATATTTCTCGAACAAGAATATTAAAACAATTATTTATTTCACTTGACACAGGGCATTGTCCAAGATTAACCTTCAACTTGAATTTGATGGAACCATTAGAATCTGCTAAGCGCTCATTATTCTTGAGGAATATCTCAAGATGTTGTTTGATATAATTGGAAGAAAAGAAGGAAAATAATTCATGATAAAAAAATTAATACTACAATAACATCATTAAGTAATAATTAATTTAAAGATAAAAAAATAATTAATCATTGTATTATCTATATTATTATATATTATTTTATAAACTCAAAATTATTTGTTATAAAATAATTTATATTAATAAAAATTTGTTATTAGTATGTGAACGAGTGTTTATGAATTTTACATTAGTTACTATATTTTAACTAGTTACTAGCATTAGTCTTAATTATTAATTACAAACTAATTTAAAATCCAATAATAAAAAGTAGTTAAAACTTTGAAAATTATTATTAGAGACCAATTTGACCATAAACAATTATAATTCTTCATTATTAACAAAGACGATTTTAGATAATAATTTTTAGTTCATAAAATGGTCTCTAATATAATAACTAATATTTTTTCTATTTAAATTAATTTCTATTTAATAATTTTCTTGTAATGAGAATAAATAAAAAAAATTGTAAGTCACTGTTAACATTGTTTTTTTATTTTATTTTTTTTTAAAAAACAAGCTAAGGAATTTGTCAAAGTTACATGTTCTTATGTAATGACTTTATCTCAACCATTTATCCTGTCACACTCTAGTGTTTGTTGTTAGAGATACATTATGCTATTCTTAGTTTTAATAATGACAAATAATGTCTAGGTCTAGTTTTGAAAAACTAATATATTTATTTTAAAGTATGTTTATAAGGAAAATCCAGAAGATTATTTCTCTGAAATGTTCCAAACAATACTATGGCATAAAAAAATGTTTTATTTTTCATGAGTTGAAGATATTCTTCTAAAGCTCTTACAAGATTAAATGTATAGGAAGTTATTTTATAACACTAAAAAATTAAATTACATACCGTCAAAATTCGTATATAACATTTGATTACATACGGTTTACATAAGGACAAAAATTCGTATATAAAACTATCGTAGCTAAATTATATACGGATTTATCCGTATATAAATTATATACGGATATATCCGTATATAATTTATATACGGATAAATTCGTATTTAATTTATATACGGATATATTCGTATGTAATTTATATATGGATATATCCGTATATAATATCCGTATATAATACATCAAAAAAATAATTTTCTTTTACATACGGATAAATCTGTATGTAACATAAAATAGAGAAAAAATATTTATAAAAAACAGAAAGCTTTAAAATAAAAAAAAAAACTTACAAATATAATATTATATAAGGTTATCGCTATTAGTTTCAACTTTTAACAAATGTAAAGAATTTATAATATATAATTATGCTAAAAACAAATAATTAAAACATAAAATTTTTATTGAAAGACTTAATAAATAGAATTCAAAACAAACCGGTCCTTGTACAATATAGAATTGAATATTAACTAAACTATAATTTACACCTAAAATATAATCAAACTCTACTCAGAAAGAAACTCTGAAACAATTGTTGCTAGCTCTTCAAATGTTGCACAAAAAATTATTGGGTGGAAGACCTTCTTCAAGCTTGATGTAATCTGAAAACAAAGGGAGGGGATAAGAAATGACATATCTATAGTAGACTTGCAAGGGAAGCAGAAAGTAGAGACATCTATATAAAAGAGCCATAGACATTTCTGACCTCTTAGATTGAATCCTTTTGGCGGAACATAAACCAACTTGGGAACATATGTCATCAGGTTTCACCTACAGAACAAGATCAAACTCATTTAGGTCCAAAGAGTGAAAATGCAAATCGAAAAAATTTCACAAACCAAAAACCATGTTCCATTGGATACCTACCCCTGATACCAAGAGAATCTCCAGATATATCGAAGCACATATAGTTGGACTAGCACATCTCTAATAATGAAATTAGGTACAGATGAAACAACAAAAGAAATATTGAAACACACCATAATGGAACAACATTGGCAACTGAGATCATCCTACAGTTCACAGTAGTAACATTTGTAAGCATAGCTATCTACAAATATATATTGAGTGGAAATTCACAAAAAATTACTCACCAGCTGCTTGACAATAGCGTTGCCAACTTTAATTCCCATAAAAATATTAAATTAAATAAATTCCTACAAATATATTATATAAAGTCTTACGAAACCATCATACTCTAGATTCACACATTATGATACAACAAACGTTTTTCCTAATGCTCACAATAGTGTGTTAGTACAAAGCAAATGTTAGATCAAAGTTTAACCGACACTTTTGTTTAATTTTGATTAAACAACAAATGTAAATTATATCTTTACAACCGTTAGATCTCATCAAACGTAAGTGTTTATTTAGCTTAACAAACACATGTAGTGCAACCAATCAAATGCAAACGCTTTGCTTCTACTTCGTTTGATAAGATTTTTCTTGGGCAAACAATGAGTATACTTTGTTTTTATAAATAATGTCTTGAACATTCATATTACACATCAAAGTTATAAACGCTTATTCACTTTGTGCACACAATTTTTGACACTTTTTTTTTCTATTAAGAGGATCTTGTGATGATGTGTCTACATCAATATTTATTGGAGAATGTGCTTAAAAGTTTATCCATACAAACATATTTTTGTAAGGGCATGTTAATGCCGCAAAGTCAACCAATTGTGTTAGGTCATGTGTTTTTCGCTGAATAGAAAAAAATTGCTTGTCTAGGCATGATAAGTGATGGAATGTTGCTTGATAAACCTTTTTTAGTGTTCTCTAATTGTATTTTTTGTGTTCATTGTATAGTACTTTTAACTTGAATGGAGCATGGATCACTATAAATACTCAGCTCCTCAATTGTACATTCACTTTTGAAACCCAAAAGCAATTCCTCCTTGAAAGTCAAGGCTAGAGAATCCTAGGGACCCTCCTCTAGCAACCTTCCAAGCACACTTCCTTACTCTCATCTTTCCATTTTTTCATTTTTCCATTGTGCTTCGTAGTTTCTCTCTCCTCCACCAAATATCTGGATAAAGTATTTGGCTTCTCTCGAAAACAAAAATAGGTCAAGAGAATGTCTTCGACAAATACATTAAAAGAATTAATTATTAAAACACATAAGAAAGGCTAAGCAAGCTAAACACTATGTGTCTAAAGAGAGAAAAAAGCCAAAGAAGCGTTTACTTGATCAAACGATACCATGAGCTAAACAAACACATCATCTTTTGATGAAGTATTTATATACGCCCTGATATCTTCATATTAAAGAACTTCTTTGTAAAATGCTACCTAACGGTAGAAATCAAAAATCACTTTGTTGTTCTGAGTAAGCATTAAATGACAATAAATGCTCAAAAACAACAAAAGTCATAAGAAAAGTCATATCTGTTGCATACACAATTTACTATAATTTTGCAGATAAGTTATTCTACATGCATCCATAGTGCTACAGATCATATATCAAAATGTGGACGTTAGAGATAAAGGAGATAATTACGGAATGTTCCTCACTTGAATCAAAGTCTAAAAAGATCGTACAACCTACTTAAAGGAAAGGACTGAAAAACAATGTCTGCTTAAATAAAGTTGACTTACATAACGACTGCTGTGAAAAGAAGAAAGAAAAAACACAAGTATCAAGGCTACAAACTATAAACTCAGTATAACGGAAAAATACTCATGAAGCCTATAAATAAAAAATCTCTCAAGAAGAAAATCAAGATGATAACTTAAGAGCAAAAGAAAATCTTACAACGATATATCCATCCTAAAAAAGAAAAAGAGAGAAAAAAAACTCAAATAAGAGAATACATCTGAGATGAAGAAAACAGAAGAGAAGAGAAAAAGAGAAAGAGATACTCTCGAGCTTAAGTGACAAAATTCTTACTACTGTAAGAGAGAAGAGAGAAACACCTGTCAGTGTTTAGACTACATTGTATTGTAATCAAATCCTCTCGTGGAGAGATTTAGTCTGAACTAATTGTAAGCAATTGTTGATTGCAATTCTGAAGAGAATTAATACACTTACAACTGAACTCTATTTGAGTTGAGGAATCTAGGTGCGATAGTCTAGTACCAGGAGTGGTTCGAATACTCAAAGGAAATCTCGGAAAGGAACTGAGTACCAGAAGTGGTGCAGATACTCAAAGGAAATCTCGGTAGGGTGCTGAGTACTAGGAGTGGTGCTAATACTTAGAGGAAATATCGGTGAAGTAGCTAAGTACCAAGAGTGGTGCTAAAACTCATTTGTAATCGTGTGAAGATTATAGTGGAACTATATGTGGACAATATGGACGTAGCTTAGTTGGAGCAAACTAGTACAAAATCTCTTGTGTGATTTTCTCTTCTCTCAACTAAATGATCCTCTTGGAAAACCTGCAGTTGAACTTTATATTTCAAATACAAGAACTTCCAAGCTAAACAATCTTTTCTTTTTAAGGAAGTTCTTACAAAACACTATAGTAGAAATATTTTGAATATCACGACAATCTTATCAACGTATATACATATATTTCAAGTCGAGCATTTAAACTTTCAAAAGAATATTTCAAATGCTCGATAATGTGCTATATTAGAAGGGTTGCGAAAAATGTTTTCCATAAACACTATTCAATCCTCTCCCCCCCCCCTCTGCTTTATCTTCTAGTGTTTTTCAGGTAATTCACTCCAAACACAGACCAAGCTTACATATTTTTCTTTTTTTCCTTCCTTTAAACATAGATATAACCTATTCTATTTTACCTAGCTTGTCGTCATCCCACCTAGCCCATAATCTAAAAATCAACATCCCATTAAAGTGTTGATGGAAGCTCCTTCAACCAAGTTGATGAAGATGATGAAGACAAGAAAGCATGAAGAAGATGAGATGAAGTGGCTTTATGAATGGGTAAGTGATGCATCCTTGAAGGACGTTCGACAAACCTTGAAGGAAAAGATAAAAGAAGTCTAGAAAAAAGACAACTCCAAGAGAACTTAGAAAAGTGAAATTGCAATTTTGTCAGTGTTTCAATAATGTCATTAAAGTTCTAAGAATATAAGAGGTGGAGCTTCTCCTTTTATAGCTGAAGGAGAGAGCTGAAGTGTCTTTTCAAATAACGAACTAGTTACAATGATTCTTGAAGCTTCTAAAGGTCAAGTGCAAAGAAGGAGTGTCTCTTCCCTTGATTTTTTTTCAAAATACATGCAAGGGTGCCTCCCTTCTAACTAACTTCAACTAACTAAGGATATGAAGATTTAACCAAGCCAAAAGACACTCAAAAGTGACGCTCAACCCCGAACTTCAGTCCAAATGGCGCTAAGGCTCATGAATCAACCCAAAATTGACGCAAACTCTTCTTAATGATGATTAAGAAAGACTAAGCAAAGGTCCTTAGTCAAATACAAGGCCTAAAAGAAACATATATACATATTACAAGCTTTAAGAGAAAAGAAGGAATAATTAGTAGTCTATCTTCCATAAAAGTAGAGTTCTTTTGAGGTTCATCTTCCTCTCCCATCGTCTATGTCGTTGCTCTAGTGAGAGGTCCAATATGTCTCCCAAATGGTCCTCCATCAAACCCTCCCTTTGGAAAAGGATTTGTCCTCAGTTCTTCTTCCTGTTCATCAGCTCCTGTGAAAGGAATTAAGTCACAAACGTTAAAAGTAGGACTGACCCCATATTCAATAGGAAGTTCTAATCTATATGCATCATCATTGATTTTTTTGGACCACCTTGAAAGGATCATTTCCTCTAGGACTAAGTTTAGACTGTTGCCAATGAGGAGCATTGATGCTTTGAAGAGATTTTGATGATGATGCACTTGAAGACTTCAAGGAACTTTCACATACATTGTTAAAGCATTTTTTGTAGAATCATTTGTATTAGGTTTATCTTTCATATAACTTATTCTTTTTTATTGAGTTTTCGCGGCAATAATCGATTATCATAGAGGATAATTGACTATCACAAGTAAAAGTAGATAAGATTTTGTCTCAGCAATAATCGATTATCACTACGGATAATTGATTATCTCCACAAGTTTTAAATTGTCCAGGGTTCCACTAGTGCAAAAACATCGTATAACGTCACGTGTTCAACGTCCAACCATTGAATAACCAACGTTAAAAATGATCGGTGGCATTTTTGTAAATAAATGCAATTATTAGACATCGTTTAGAATCGGAATTCGATGTCAAATTTGTTATATTGGATAAATTTTGCAAAAAATGTTTGGTGCGAAGGTGAAAATGTATTTACGTATGACATCGAATTCCCTAGAATTAGACGTCAAAAGGATATAAAACATCGAATGCCCCAACGTTAGACGTAAAAGGTTATCGAATTCAATAAAATTTTGAGTGGGAGATTGAAAATTCATTCACTTTATCTTAGCGCGCGATACCCTCTTTTCTGCTCAAGCTTTCTAGAACGAAGTTTGACAACCATCATATGTAATCTTTCTTTGATTTGTTACAAATGCATGTTAATTAACTACTTTAGGTATGATTTTCGTTTGTTTTGACCGATTATTTTCGTGTTCTTTTCCTTCATAGGCGCATTCTGCTTTCTCTCTCACTGGTGGCAACACTTTATTCAGACGAACCCACCTTTTGAAGGTTAGTTTTCGTTTTCGTTTTGAAGAACTTATTTGTTGTTTTTTTTTTCTTGAACTTGTTTGCTGTTGTTGTTTGGTTGAACCTGTTTGTTGTTGTTGTTTGATTTAACTTGTTTGTTGTTTGTTATTGTTGTTTGTTATTGATACTACACTACACATTCATAGTTCATGCTTTATAAAATACAAAAAACTGAAATTTGTTCTTTTTTTGTTTTTCAGGTCTCGTAGAGTTATAAAAAGAATCACAATGAATTAAAAAAACAAAAAAAAAATATTCACATCGAATATTGACAAAATTTGATGTTAATTTGCTTTAAGTCGAATTGTTCTATGTTCGACGTCAGTATAACGTCTCCTGATATGATGTTCACCTCGAATTAGACGTGAAAGGCCAAAAAACACCGACGTTATACGATGTTTTGTATTAGTGTTCGGCAATACTTGATTATCACTAACGATAATCGATTATCGCATTTTTCAAAGCCCTTAACTTCCTGCAATAATCGATTATCATAGAGGATAATTGACTATCACAAGTAAAAGTAGATAAGATTTTGTCTCAGCAA